AAATATCTCTTTTTTACATTAATTAGTAAAGAACAACTACAGGGGAAGGTTTACAAAAAGTTGAAAATATAAATTTTTGAAGAAAAATAAGTTAGGGGGGGGGGGAAGTGGTAAAAAAAAGGAAGTATTCAATATTCAAAAGCTTGCTGTCTTGTTAAACACGAAATCCTCAAGGTTAACTACCGAGCACATGCTTCTTTTACAGATCCCACCTATGAGCGTGACCTATACGAGCCGTTTAACGAAAAGGCAGCTAGGCTCCGATACGCACTGTCGCATCAGCGCCCTGAACTGATCTCCAGTTTTCCATATATCTTTTAAAACTCTTGTTTAGAAAAGATAGTTGAATTCCTCAACTCAAACACTATCTTTGTTATCGTCAATGAGTAGAAATAATAAGAAGTAACATTACATCCTTGTTCACTGGTAGCCTCCAGAAGTGTTGTTTAATTTTCAATTTGTTGGTTTTTAACTCTAAAGATCATTTTAAAAGCACTTTTATTTGGTTTATCTGAACAAATGCTTTGCATTGTATAGATTTTGGATTTTTTTTAATGCTATACAAAGTTTTATTTCATTTATCGTTTTCTTTATTTTTTGTTGTTTTGTACTTAGATAAGTTTTTTCTGTTGTCGTTAGTTTTCGGGTTCAATTTGTTCTCTAACTTTCTCAACCTTATACTTTTTCTTCTCAGATTTTATCTCAACTGATAATAGAAATTGCATTAAGGACCGTCAGGCTTGCAATACATCTCGTCAATGTTACTTATAAAAAAAAAATCATACATTTTTTTCATCTTGAGCTGGTACGAAACGGCATCTGTAAAGAACCCATACTTAATTTGCCAAGCATCTGATAACTAACTTCTTTTTTTTGCTATTATACTGTAGCATTGATTCAAAAAAAACCCTGTATCTGACTAATTAATTTTTAAAATGATCATTTTTCATATGTACAAATACATAACTTAGGATGTACTTATGTATATAGGTATTTGTCTGTGCAGATTTCTATATCTGTATTTGTATGTACGTATATGAATCTGCGTTTTTTTAAGCTTATAATGGTGGTGTCTGAGCAACCGTATGTGATCATGTCTATGTGTTTATCGGAAGCTTCTAAATTGATCAAACATGTCCATTGATAACCATGTATATTTTTTTCCTGTTCTGTACATATGTACTTTGTACATGCACTGTATATCCATTTATCAGGATACAAATAAAGTTTTGTTCTATTTTCCTTCTTTTACTTCATGATTTCGCTTATTCTTCATACACACACACACACACAAAAAAAAATAGCTTTTCTTATCTAATATTTTTATAAGTATGATCAGTTGTAATTCAAAAACTGCTTAGCGTTTAATGAGAGTTGTACTGTTCCGTTTTCTAGCTAAATTTTTACAGATACGACTTTATTGGAATTTTTCAGTAATGAAATATTCAAATCAAAAAATTCGATAAATTTTTCTTCAAAATCATTTCTCTTACTTGGTTAAAACTTTTATCTTCTTTAACTGATTTTTTGCTGTATGTTACGGCATCATTGCAAAAAAGGCGCTTACTTTTAATCTCTTCAAGAACAGTTGTTCGTGTATTTTTTTTCTGCAGACTTTTTTCAAATACACTATTTTGACCACTCTAAATTTTTTTAAAATTTTTAAAAGGTGATCTAAATTTTTTTTTTTGTGCTTGAATGCTCGCTCATTTCATTTGTAAATACAAAATATAGGCAGTGTAGTTGATGATAAACTGCCAAGAAATAGAAAAAAGTAAGAAAACATGAAAAATTTTTTGTGAACAAAATCACTCATATTTCTTTTTTATTTTATACCCATTTCTTGTCTTATAATAGATAACAGGTATCCGTAACAGAACTAGAATTACAAAGATAAAATAGCACAAAGAAAGAAAAATTTGGTGCATATTAGTAAATAATGTACCATCAAGTGAACGACTTATTCTATTAAAACCAGTGTTGCAATACATAAGACCGTAAATCAACAAGTTCATTGGTGAACCAACACTAATACTCTAATGTTACTTTGTACGAAGGCGTTAAACCAAATAAATGGTTACAGGTAATTAGATCGGTCAAAATAACTCTAATATAACTAACGTGTCTACAAAGAGCAGTACTGCCCAAAGTTGCGAGTACCAAAGGCATTCATTTAGATGATTAATATCATTTCCACTTACAGTGCAAAATATGACAAAAATAATGTAAACGAAAACAAGAAATTAGACTTGAGATCAGTAAAAAACCATAAAAATCGTTTCTTTTTTTTTTCTACAAAGTGTAACCAAAAATTTATTGTAATATTTTTGGTGCAACTTTGGTATACCATACAACAAATGCAATGTTGTTTTTGTCAAATTTGGAAGTAACAATGATTTTGGTGAAATAAAGGACTGCCAAAGTATAACAAATGAAAAATACTTGAAGATATCAATTGCATAACATGTAAAGTATGTGTAGATGACTTTTGAAGCCGAAAAAACCCTGAGTAGGCAGAAAAAAAATAGGAGAAAAAAAGAAGCCCGTTGGATAGGTCAATGTAGTTAAGCCTTTTCGTAGACAACAACAAAAACAACAACAATAAAATAGTTTAAGTGCTGCGGCTAAACCAATAGCACTAGATGGACAATAGGAAGAAAAAAAACTGCAAAATCAAATTTTTCACGTCAAAACTGTGACAATTTTTTCTTTTGAAAACGCGATTATCTTATGCAGCAGTTTGCATCACCTGTTTATATGTAATGGTTTCGTTAACTGGATATTCGATGCACCATTTAACAGCTAATTCACGATGTTCGCTTGGCGCTAGTATCAGTGTCCACTCTAAGTTATGTTCTTTGTTTAGTTTTGCAGTTTTTAAAGCGCGCAAATCTGGTGACAACAAAGTGACCTAAAAAATCAAATTTGAAAACACTACAACAGTTGCATGGGTCGTTGGCTTTGATCAAATGTCAAAGAACGTTTCACAATTGGTAAACGTTTTTAGCTGAACATAGAGCTGATCAATTCTTTTCTTTGATAAATATATAAAGAAGTGCATGATACAGAAATAAAAGGTCAAAAACTTAAAAACTCATAAATACTTGAAATAAAGATCATTATTTTTGAAGCAAAGAAGTGTTGTTGTTGCAAATAAACTTACAGGAACATGCTTGGATAAAGTCAATTTTTTTTCACAACTAGTACCCCATTACTTCGCAACACGCCCCTAAAAAACTTCAAAAGTTCACTGAGCTGTTGTTTTCAGTCACTTTGCCAATATTTGTATGTTTCAAAATCTTTAGTCTATTTGCAACAACAACGACAACAAAGTCGAGGAGAAAAGCAAAAACTAATAAAAATTATAGTGCTGCAAATAACAATCTTATTTTTGGTTAAAAAAATTCTTCAGTTCATATAACAAGTTGAAGAATACTGGTGCTCAGGAAGGCCTCTGGGTAAAAAAGAAAAAACAAAGATGAAAAACAGTCAACCTTAATTCTGTCATCGGTTGATTTTGGTACGTGTTCCCGAATTGTTATTTGTAAAGATCTGTTTGCTTTTGTGTTCCGAATGACAATTGGTTGAATTTTTGTTTGGAGTGCACTCTTTGAAACAAAACCAATCTGAAAAAATAAAAAGTAAAAAAAATTTGGAAGGGTACTTCCAAACCGAAATAAGGAACACATTTTGAGTAAGACTGTTTATCATTTTCAAAGGAGATTTGAAAATTTTACCTGTTCTTTTACCCGCTTCGATGGTTTATACTCAACTTTAACAGACGGATCAATACCCAAGTTGCAAGAGAATTCTCCTCCTGGTAAAACTGCACCAAGTTGAGTCTGAAACCACTAGTATTTAACCTCTAAAAAAGTCTAAATGATCATTCTATCTACTGAGAGCTGTAAATGCGAAAAATTACTTTAGCAATAAAGCTGGTATTTAGGTACACAGAAGCTGGCCCTGGAAGAAATGTTAGTTCTGAAGTGTTTGTTGCTATTGCGGTAACATACGCAGCTTGGGCATGAGCAGGAACAGTTTCATGTAGAAATCTTGGTTCTACATCAACTTCTGAGACTAAAACTTTATGTTCACAGCCATCACTGCAAACGGTTGTCGGTTCGGAAATTGAAAAATAACTGCACGGTAGTTGTTCAGTATTCTGAAAATGACAAACACTTTATTGAAAACGTATCAATATTTTTGAAATAAGTGATCAGAAAGCTAGCACCTGTTAACTTACATTAACTGTAGATAAATCAATATCTGAAGCAGGAAGAGCTGCAGCAGCTGCAGTTAATTTCTGCAGTGCTATGGCATCTGTAATATCGTTGTAATCAAAGGATCCAAAACCCATATCCTCATCACTGGTTGCGCTATTCGGTTTTCGAAGTGAAGATGCATTACGTTTTCGGCTTCTAAATGGCAACAGGAATACTTATTTCTCCTCAGCCTTTAAAAACCAACGCTCAAATGTGGTTTCAGATACAGTTGTTATAACCTACTCTTTAAACTGCTTCTGGAAACCAGCAGCTAGTGTACACAAAGGTGGTACAGCACCTCCGACGCTTGGCGTGGCTGTGCTTAAAACGATTTCTGCGCATTTCCAATCCTCACCCGTATTCTGTTCGATTATCCCGTAATAACAAAGCTAAAAAAACCAAAAATTAAAATTACTTTAATTTTTAACAAGGAAAAAAGATATTTTAATATGGAATTGATGAATAAGAGCTGACTTCCAAGGTTACTAATAAATAAACTCATTTTATATCCAACAACCATAGCAACACATATGCATTTTTTCATATTCAGATACCTGTGCCTATAAGTCAACAACGTAAATTAATAAAACTTTTGCTACAGCACTGTTTATTCAATATTTTACTAAAAATATCTAATTGTTCATACTTATTAAACACAATAAAAAGTATTAAATAATCGAGTAGATTTCTATCAACAGCTAGTTCCTTACCTTTAAAGAATCTATTTTGTCCTCTTCGCCCCCCATTATAACACGGATGTCGTATGTTGGTCTCCAGCTGGCGCAGTAAACCTGGTAGGTAACATACAATTCTACAGATTCTTTTTCTTCCGCATTTATGGTAACACATACATTTCTGCAATTGTTCGTGGTAGAAAACAACTGTGTGCATTATTATTTTGTAAATCTAGCCACTAATCCATTAATCATTACAGTAATTGAATACCTTTCTACACAGTCATATTCAAAACTGCATCGCATCTTATCAATTTCTCGTTCAAGTGAATCAATTGTTTGAAATAGCTCATCCAGTTGTTTAGTCTTCTGCCTTATCTCGGATTTAATATCACTTACCGTGTTGCCTAAATAACACAACTTATAAAGTCTTAATGCATCAATTAATTTGCTGTAGCTGTAAAACAGATGTGAAATTTTTCGAACCAATTTTTTTCAAGGTCAAATGCAAATTTCTATAAACCAGTAAATAATCCGTACTGTAGAAGTCCAGAAATCTTGTAAGGTTTTCAATAGTATTTTCGTTTAGCAGAAAAACGTTGTTGAACATCGGTGTCGTCGTTGCTGTAGTACCGTTTAATTTTTTCTCTGAGTCCGCTACTTCGGAAGTTCCAACCATATTGCGGCTTATCTAAAATTTGCATACACTTACGTCGTCCACAAAAAAACTTTTTACTAAAAATTAGGTTAATTACGCAGAAAAAATTTTAATTAATTCTTAAATGCTTACTTGTCCAGCTACTCCATCTAAGACTTCAACACGTTTTTTCAGAACGTTGATTTCATCTTCCAGTGACATTCTTTTCAAATCTTCCTCATTCTTTTGTTGTTCAATTTCCCGAATCTATAGTTATTTGTGATTATTAAGCTGAATTTTGCAAGTAAATTTTGCTCTTATGAGACAAACATTTATTCCTGTAACTTGGTATCGCATTTAGATACTCACAATTTGTATTACTTAAACGCAACGTTTGACAAGCAAAAGAGTCAAATAAGCTTAACAAGCTTACTTTTTTGCTTTCTGATGAATTCCTATCAAGGGGTGTTTCTTGGTATTGAACTTGTTGAATTGCAACTGTCCCATTAGCATCCACTCGTAGTGACTGTCGCTCAACAACCGATGAGATATTCTGTCAAAAAAATACACATTAAGTTAAAAAAAACACTTATTTTGATACCATATTTGCACTAAAATATTTGTTTCATTTCTCTCTTTTTTTTTGATTTAGCTAATTATTTCAAAACGTTTACTTTGAGTATAATTTCGTTTAAACCCTTTTCAAGATCACAGTTTACGACTTTTTTTACTTCAGCACGATCGCCATATACAGTAACCGACTTGGTCCGGAGGTTTCGAACATCCAAGGTTTGAGAAAACACTTGATTCCGATGCATAATTTACTGAAAATGACTTTTTGACTATAATTTTATAGACCATCTCGATAACAAAAGCAACACGTCCAACAAGATATTATCAAATTAATGGTTAAATTACTAGCTGGATGTAAAATATCAGGCAAATTTGCAGTTGGCTACTTTCTTCTCATTACTACTTCTGAACCAGGAGTCGAAGATTTATTAAAGTAATGATTAAAATAGTGTAAAATCAACGAGAAAGAAGAGAGGTAAGTCTTTTCATTCAATTCTTTTACATAATGCAATTTTTTTGGAAGTTCAACAATGTTTACTCAACCATAATACGACAAATGCAGTAACATTAAA